GAGTCTTGTGCCAACTTGAAATATTTCTATGAGGGAAGTAGTAGGCTTGAGTTTCCACAGTTGATCAAAATTACCGTTGTTAACTGCCCAGTTTTGGCTGTTTTTACTTCTTCATTTTCAAGTGACCAAAAGAAAGAGATGACAACTAATGACACAGAAAGTGAAGAAAGGCCTGTCATCCCTACTCAACCTTTCTTCAATGATAAGGTTAGTTATTTCGTAAAAATTATTTTATTTTACTTTTATAGAGTATTTGTTTCTTTAGTGTCAATGCTGCTATTGTCTCCACCTAATTACCTTTATGGATATATCAATTACCTTAAACAATTGTGCCTAAAAGAACCATAACTGCAGTAAGTTCACAGTAACAACCAATAATAGAAGGCTCTCAAAAACTATTATTATAAAATGAGTTAGATGCTTCATAACTTATATAATTTTTCCCTTAATATTTGGAGAAATTAAACATCTCCATCATCCAAATTGTGTTTAAAAATTTTTCACTTATGTTAGACTTAAGTCAGGTGTAAATATAGTTTGCTTATTCTTCATAAATGATATCATAATTAATTTTCTTAATCAATTGAAATGGTATATATTTAGTTTTCTTAATTAGATAAAATAAATTATATATACACAATAGGATTGTTTGAACTGTATTCTATTAATTAGGAGTAATAACCAATCTGAATTACCTATTATTACTAGTACATTAATTAAATACAAAAATTATTAATTATTAACTAAGATGTAGAACAGGTAAATCTCTTTACTTATTGTGCCTAAAATTTCATCACTTAAGAGTAAAAGTAAAATTACTCAATTTAAAAAAATTAGTTAATTGGAGAGAGTGTTTAACTATCCTGAACAAAGTCTATTGCCATCCTTCATTCTAAATGTCTTTGTCATTTCTCATGTTTTTGCTTTGGGATTGTCGTTACATTGTTTCTTTGGATTAAGAAGAAATTCTTCACAAAAAGAATGATCTTTTTCTGATGAGGTCTTTAAATTTGGAGTTTTTAATGTTGTTTTTAAGTATTGGCCTTCTGATGAAAGTTCTGCTTTTGTTCATCTTCTAACCTCCTCTTCTGGTTAGTACCAAAGCACAAAGAACAAAATTTAGACACTGATCTGGATAAACAACCACCCACCTTGCCTTTTGTTCACATAAATGATCTCCTTCCGGTCAATTTGAGAGCCATATTGACAAACTTGTCCTTCCCTTTAAATAACCTTTCATTCTTGCATATCCACACAATCCAAGTTATAACAGTACAGTAAAGACCAAACTTCTCTCCTAGATTTGCTTACCACCCCAAAATTGACTGATCATATAACTGGATTATACTCCATGGAAATATATGGAGCTAAGATCCTACCAATAATAGTTCCAACTACTGTTGCAAAATACATTGATCAACTCCTCCAACTCTTACCATTTTTAACATGATGGACTATCCTTTTTCTCATCCATCAACAAAATGATAAGCTTTTTCTACAAAAT